TTGTATGATGAAGTATTAAAGAGGCTGAAGAAAGCATATGCACAGGTTAAAATTGGAGACCCTTCAGAAGGTATTTATCTATGTTTGCTTCAACTAGAAAGTTTAATTTATATTTAAGTTTTAATTCATCTTTGTATTATTATGTAAATGAAGGAAGGTACTGCAAATGCATTTAATTATTCTCCAAGTTTTACTTTTACTGTTAAGTAAAATGTGAATATGTAAAATAGCAAACAACAAACAAATTCATGAACTTAAAACTTAACAAAATGAATAACTTCAAAATATAGAAATAGTGAAATTAGACTCCTGTGAAAATAAGTTGTAATAATTTATCAAAAAGTAATTTTGAAAATTGTCTGTAGAATTTTGGAGAATTTGTTCTCCACCACATTGATATGTATACTTCCATGTACCAGTGATTATTACATTATAACCCCATGTAAATGAAACACTTTTTCTAAATATCAACACTAGTTGGAGGCTGTTTCAAATCAATATCCTAGAATTTCCAAAACGCAATCTTCATTTTGTTTCTGTTTCTGTGTTTCTGTTTGTGCATGTTTCAGACTTTATTTCTCTGGCATTCCTGAGATGATTTTGGTAAAAAGTCAAAACATAATGAAGTACATTATGCACATTAATTTCTTTTGTTATTGACTGACTGCATTATTTCAGTTCACAGTGCTATATCAGCACATGTCATGACCATATATGCATAAATGTCATATCTGAAGCGAATCTGTTCATTCTTTGTACGTGCCTTGTACTTTATGTGGACATATGTACTAGTACACGCTGTAGTTTAATGATTCGATCGAACATGGCCGACTGGCGGCCATTTTGTTTTTGAAAATGTGGTATCTTTGACATGCTTTGTCTGTTTTTGTTCAAATTTGCTACAAACATTATACATGTTGGAATATACATGCCCATGACAATTTATCTACACCCCAATAGAGATCAATAGAGATATTCACTTCTCTTAACTAACTGAATAAAGTAACTTTAGAGAAGCTGAAAACTTATATAACTTGCTGGATGGTCCATACTTCCATACGTCTCGTGGATCTGATGACTTTTGACATCTTGTATGTTATTGGATAATGGATTTGTTTTGATTTTATATTATTGCGTGTACTTGCATGTCCATCTGTGTGTCTGTACATCCTTTATTAACTACTCCACCAATTGATCCCAAGTTTGATATGTATATTTCTAAACAACCTGGTGGAGACAACTTGTGAACATTTTTATTTGCATATATTAATAATTAATTTCACGCAGTGCTGTGTTGGTCAATCCCTTTCCACACTGTTCATAGGACTCATTAGCTTTAAATGCAGTTTCAGACATAATTATTATTTTAATTACATTCTTAATTGAGAATTATACTTTACCTATGTCTCAAAAATCACATTTTGATGACACTCTGCAGTAACACACTGTGATATCTCACAGGTTTTCAGGTCTCATTAGTTTTAGGTACAATACATATTTATAATATAACTGAGGTTAATTGGTTGCAACAGGCTTCATTTGCATATTTTGGTTCAAAGGATTGTACCGGTAGTAGTATATTAATAATTAGTACTAAGTACTTCCTAAGTAGACTCATCTGACTAAAGCTTGAATGCATACCTGTAGGCTATTTAATGTTTACATACCCAACACAATCACATGCCAGGTTACCAGGGTATCTGCCATCACTGATGGATTGCTTGTGTAATGAATGTAGAATATATATTTTCTTTTTCTGGTATTGAATAATCTTAACATACAAATTAAATCTGCATCATGTTGTAAGGAATTATTGCGAGCAGAATTGAATGTGCTATAGAGCTGCATAGATAACAACAAAATTTTAATCTTTTGTTCTATTCCTTTGAAAGAGAGATCCAGCAAGTGATTCATGTTCTGAAAATAGACGTTCTGATAATTATATTTATGCTGTGTTGTATGTTCGTATTGCATTACCTGTATATCCATCAATCATTTCTTTCAGCTGGTACTCTGTATGGTCCCATGCATAGTCAGCAGGGAGTGGATTTGTACACACGACAATAGATGAAATCAAGAAAGCTGGTGGATGTGTAGAATATGGTGGAAATGTAAGTAAATACAGATAGACAGCACTGTATGTCATCAGGACTGCTATATAAATGCAAAAGTCTTTCGCTGAAGATTGTGTGCTACAAATCGGTGGATGTACCTAAGATGTTGTAACCATTCCTTGCATCAAAGAAAAATTTAACAAATTATATATTCTGTGGAAATCATATTAGAGATATTATGTCTCAATTTCTATTATTTACTTTTCAAAATGTATCTTAATAATATGAACAAGTTTTTGTTCCAGATTCATGCCATTCGATTTGGAAGAATTTAAAAAAAAATTGTTTCACTGCTAATACATTAGTTCAACCACATGCTAGATTTAGCTGAAGTTACAGTTAATCTTACTGGGCATTTCTACTAATTAAACAATTTAGCATCATGTTTGTGGAAATATTAACTGGATAGTACTTCAGCATCGCCCCTCTTGCAATAGGAATAACACATCAGAGCCTTAGTTAACATGCATTTTATATTTCCAAAACTATCTGTTCTCTTATGCCAATCAACTAGATTAAGCAATTGAATTGTGATATTTATTTTATGAATAACCATCCATTTCTTGAATTTGTATTAGGATACAGAATTGACTTGTATATATTATTGTTGTACCTCAGGTTATACAAAGACCAGGATTCTTTGTTGAACCTACAATTGTCACTGGACTTCCACACGACTCTGATATTGTGAAAAGAGAGACATTTGCTCCAATTGTCTATTTAGTCAAAATAAAGGTAATATAATTGTCACTTTTCATTTACAGAAATGAGCAAAAGTGTGATTAATTTTCAGTCACAATGCCAAGTAACATGTGTGCTTTCTAAAAAAATGATAAAACTCATGAATTAATCACTTTTTTTCAACATGGCTCATCTAGCCACTTGTCTCTGTGTCTCTAACCATTTTCTGAATGTACCTTATTTACTTGAAGAAGATATAAAGACAAGACTGGTGCTTGCCATTGTTCTAAAATGAATACCAATTGATTGTTTATTACATTTACTCATGAATTTTAAACAACTGCAAATATAGATCATATTACTTCATTGTGCCTGTGCAACAGAAATACATACTTATTTGTGATTGCTAGTTCCCATTGGACTATGTTTTAGTTTCAAAGTTTGGAAAAAACAAATTGTAATGGAAAATATGTGCATATCAAGTTTTTAGTTTTTTGAACTTCTGCTGTCTGGCAATCATTTTTGTACTTTAATGTGTCTTCGACTGCTTCTCAGTGCATGCCTGGGCTATTTGTATTCACTTTTCATATAAACAATCGCAAATAATAGATTACTGATCCACATCAGTATATTTTACTTTGTGATTGTCAACTGGTAACAGTGGTTTTTATTTTTATGTGTACTCGACCATATCTTGGAAGTTGAATGTTTAAAAGTAACGCCTTTTGAAATTAACATTTAACTCCCAACATTTAATTATAATCTTGTTATGCTAATTGGCACAGTCACTAAAAACTATACAGAACTATGTCATTGACAAAGACTTGGTACTTGTATCTTTGCAGAATATAGAAGAAGCCATTGCAATAAATAATGAAGTCAAACAAGGCTTGTCCAGCAGTTTATTCACCAAAGATGTATCAAAGCTTTTTCAGTGGTTGGGGTAAGACATTTCTCTTAACAAATTGTTGTGCATAATAATATCATGAATAGATTTTATCCCATGTAGTTCAGTACAGTTTGTGTCTGTACCAATCTGGAATACCAATAATAGATATGCTTTGGTAATTGGTGTATGTGCTAATGTTTAGTTATATTCTTTCTTAGTGGATACCTGGGTCACTATAATGTTTTTGTGTGAAGCACACAATGGTACTCTTTGCAGGTACCCTGTCTGTATATCTGTATATCTTTTGCATCAGTATCTCTAGAACCTCTTGTTCATTTTTCAATCAAACTTGATATATTAATACTCTGCGATAATGGGCAAACCGGATTAGTGTTTTGTTGACACCATGCATGCATGCTGATTAATACCCCAAGAACTGTTCAATACATTTCAATGAAACTTAGTATATAGATGCATTGGTGTAATGCACAATTCTGATTAGAATATGGTGGAAATCTGTGCCTACTAATGTCCGAATTTGCATGGTATAGACAATAGTTATTCCAGTAATATGTCAAGAACTGTTACATGTACATGATACATTCCGATAATATCCATATCTGATTACTTTTTCGGTTGACATCTGACACAATTATTTATTTAACTTGCGTAACATATAGCCAATTTTAACTACTTTAGAAATATCTGAATAGCATATTTCAATAAAATGCCAAAACTATTGATAGTAGCAGGTATTGTCACATCAATTGACATAAATTAGCAAATTTTCACCTTTTGGCTCCTGTATTAATTGGTCAACTGTGGGATGAGGTGCATATAGGCGGTATTGTTTGTATTATCAATTCAATATTGTAGATCAAATTGCTTCGACATTTGTGATTGCAGATCTATATTTATTTCATGAATCAAGTACCACTACACATGAGCTCTTTCTAAGCTTTTTTTTATCTATCATTATTTTTCAGACCTAAAGGTTCTGACTGTGGTCTTGTGAATGTCAATATCCCAACTAGTGGAGCCGAAATTGGTGGTGCATTTGGTAAAGTTTTGTTTCACATTATATAATTGATCATAAATTTTGTAGTTCAATGATTGCTATTATCAAATAAACTGTTTTAAAAACAAAATAATAAATCTTCTTTAATTGATACTAGGTGGGGAGAAACATACTGGTGGTGGCAGAGAATCTGGCAGTGATTCATGGAAGCAATATATGCGAAGATCCACTTGGTATGTTAGTCTATCAACTAAGTTGTTCAGTTATAGTTTCATGAAAACTGATATACAACCAAATGTGTCTGGAACTATATTAACAAAATTTAAAAAAAATAAAAATGTCTCTACTTTGAACTCACACACTCACATGCAACTGTATTGATCAATAATAATTGACATTGTGTACAAAATGCTCATTATATTGCACTACACATTTTAATTATTAAAGCCTATGTGATGAAAAAAACAATGCATCTTCCTTAACACCCTTCCATCTTGTGTGCCCTTTAATATGAATCCATCAAATACATTAAACTTGCTCCCACTTTGTATTGTGTATGCAACTGATTATTCTGTTCTCCATAAAAATGGTAAAATCAGTTTGTATGGCAACAAATCATGAAATATTGGAGCACTGATGATTAGCATAGTTTTCATTGTTATAATAGTATCGTGTTAACTTAAATTCGATTTCATGGTATCTTTTGGATTGAAGCTTTTTATGCTTTCAGGGGTCAGTGACATGTCATACAAAGTGGGAATTCAACTTCAAGGAGACATTGACTCGTGATTTATCGTTTTTTTTCTTTCTACAGCACTATCAACTACAGTAAGGATCTGCCACTTGCACAGGGCATCAAGTTTGAATGATAACTTTAAAATATACTTTTTCACATATAGTTTCTCAAGTGCACTGTTTACATGTGTGCACGCAATGGTGTGAATGAACTTTAACCTGTGTTTCAAACAAAATGCATTTTTCATCTTCATCTCAGAAATTAAAATTCACAAAACCTGATAATAATTTGTGATTATTACAATATTGTGTTTCGAACAAACTGCTGAATAAATATATATATATATAAATGATACATGGATTACTTTTCTCTGAATGTGTATGCAGGACTATGAGCCAGTCTGCTATTATAATCTACTGGATTAAACATATTTTATCTCCTGCACCACGGGCATATCTGTAGCATACACCAATAGGTAGATCGGCACTATTTTACTACTTCCTCCCGAGTTTTGAATTAGAATGTCAACAACAGCTGTAACGTTATAATGGTCACATGTTGTTTTTTTCTTGAAATGTTGGCTACTAGTTATTTTATTTCACCAATGCAATCAATATGCCTTTGTAAGCAAATCTTACACCTGGCCACTCAAACCTGGAAAAAGACAATGTTAAAAACAATTGATGTTTGTTTGTCATCATAGCAACCTAT